ATTTTCACCCCAAAGCCCGCCGGAAGGCTGTCTTCGACTGGACTGCGCGGGGCTTTTTTCCAGGAGGTTGGGCAGTTCGTAATCGTTTCCTTCAGGGCACACGCTAAAACAGTTACAGCCATCGTCCTACTGCGTCAGCCCTCCCATTTTCCCTCAACTTTAGCACGCGTCGCAGGTCCTACACGAGCCACAGCAGTCATACATACTGTTTTCTGCTGCAGTAGATTGATCAACCGGATGCGACACGCAATTGTCCCCGGAATGATAAAGCGTCACATCAATATGCCTTTCAAATTTGCATCGCGGAAATGTCCTCTTGAAATCCAGGATAGCTAATTTCGGTGGGAGTCTTCTTCGCGTACCTGTCCGACAACTGCGGCATGCAACCAAAATTTTTTGCCGCTAAGTACGGAGACAGCTCCGACGGTTTCTACCAGTTTTGATGAGCGGCGTACAGAGTAACGGTTCTGGGAAGCTGCGTCGTGCTGCAGGATACGAACGAGGCTGTTTTGAACGATAACTTTCCCTGCTGAATTTGGTTCCCAAATTGAGTTCGGTAAGAAATAGATTATTCAAGGTCGGAACACAGCAGCGGTGGTTGAGACGCTGTCCATTAGATTCATCACCACCGGCGAGTCCTGGAAACTAGAAACGCCATCAACAGACATCAGCAGCATCAGCAGAATTCCCCACGCTTTTATCGTTTCAGATTCCTTCAATCCCCTCTTCGAAATCGCAGATCGTTCAAAGTGTAACCGGACCTTACACATCTCCTGCAAGTAATCCTTCTCGAACCGTCTCAGCACCTGCCAAGCTCGGAAGGTGGCCGTCAAGATGACGCAGGATGGCAGGTCTTGGAAGCTCGGCGATTCGGTGCCGCGCGACAATACGTATTAAGCGCGAGGATCTCAAAGCTTGACCGACATAAACCTTGTTAACCTCTTGAAGATCATTTAACTTCATATCTTGAGGGGTACTACCTTCGGGCCCTGAACTCTTCCCAATATCGAGGCATCTTATACGCCCCGCGTTGCAGCAAGCGAGATCAGAATGCGATTTAATCTGCTGAATAAGGTTATGATACCCATTGTACCGGGTCGTGGGAACAGTGCATTCGGAGGAATGTAGTTTCGTGTTAATGTTTAGTGAACCGTCGAGGTTGATGTGGAGCTTGGTGGGGCTTCCAGAAGCCTGCACAAATAAGGAAACGTCATCTCGAGCTATCTTTCCAACTTCCGCCCTTGCCCTAAACCCGTATCTTGAAGGCGCATGCATAATGTGGAAGTGGAGGTGAAGCAGATATTCCGATTAGTCAACAATCAACGTCGGATAGAGCGGCAACAACGTCGGCGTCTGTCGCGTGTTCCTCCTGCTCCTTTTTCTGGCTTCCCATGTTTTCTCCACCTCCATTTTAGTTCCTCCGCATTCCATTTATGTACCTCATCTTGTCGTGGTTGGTTGCGTTTTATTCGCTTTTTATCATCGCTTCATCGGACCGAACGGCTCATAAGTTAGTCAAAATTCGATACCGGGATTTGAAGAGTAATCCAATGTCATCTCTATTGGCATTAACTCCATCCAAGGTAGGTGCCACCGATCGAGGGGATCTGACTCGTAGTTCTTCGCTAATCTGTCAGGAACGAACGGATAAAACGGTCGGAGTTCGGAATGGCGGTGGACAACTGTGATTTCCGGGTTGTGGTTGAAGATAAGCGAGCTAACTGGATAAACCTGTCGGGAAGGCCGAAGAGAAGCTTTCTGACACTTCATGGTTTTTCGGGATTCGGCACAGTCGGGAAGTGGGGTGATGGGGCTGAAATAAGGTCGGCGTGCATGTTGATGGTGGGGTGATGATGACCCAAGGTGGAAATGCTGAGGTTAACATAAGGTTGTGGGCGACCCACCTTATTTTAATTTACTGTCGACTTTCTGGTAAAATCAGGATGAATTATATTAGCATAACGGCGCCCGCACCGTTGATGGACGTTGATGGACTTCGCTTGTCTGCTTTCGGAGTTGCACTATCAGGTCTGGAATCATCACCGGTACGCCACTAATGTGTTCCACGATTTCCTGTTATTTAGCAACTTCAAATAAGCATCTCAATTCAGTCAAATGGTATATATTGCCGTTGAAATAAGGTTTTGATACTGACTTTACCTATTTCTAGGGCCGCTTGGATTCTATGATAGTTGCATTAATGCTTCTACTCCCTCTGAATTACAGCGATATACGGCTGTTGATTTGGGGTTTTGGGCGTATCTCAAGTAGTGGCAAATTTCTGGAAAGAGTTATAATCTACAAGACGGGGGGCCCTCCGTAGATCTTACATCCTACGCCGCCCCACGTGTTTGACACTTCAATATACATGCGAACTGGCCTCTCGCCTCGAACTTCTCAACTCCAGCTACGTTTTCCTACATCTTATCAGCCTGTTCGGTAATTTTCCGAAGACTATTTTGGGCCATGTCAAACTAGTTGACCCTCCACATCTATGGTGATATGGTCAAATCCGGCTTTCGAATGCAACTGAGACCTACATATGCTCCTCGCATATTGTAAGGCCGACTTCAGCATCCAGAAGATCTCGCTCTAATCCCTATGGGCCCCTCTAAGTGCCCTCCGCTTGTTACTAAATCTGACTGTGACCTTGCCACCAGTGATTTTGTCCCAAGGCACCGCTCACGAACCAATATTATGATGCATGCATCGCGAGTGATACATCCTGAGGGCGTTGAAATTTCTATGGCGTCTACCTTCGTCTTGAAAACCCTAATTAAGGCTATACAAAATTACCTTCTCGTTGGTGAAACGAAAATTCCTCAAAGTTTCATATCTCCTAGCATCAAAATATCCAATATTTAACCCGAGATCCTGATTTTATCCGGTTATATGGTGGGCTCTCCTTCTAAACGTCTCTCTGCAAATTCCACGTTTCCAGCGTAAAATTTTCCTCAATCGAAAATTTTGCTGTCTAGATCGTATATGTGCGACTTCTAGCATCCGTGTCCTCTACGGAGTTTATATCACTCATGCTCAGTAAGTCCCAGTAATTCTATGTCTATCACCCTTAGCCTCCTTCAAACCCCATTTCTATTTGCCAAGGGCAAGATTTCAAAGCCGGTATACCAACCACGGCATAAGGAAGCTAAGCAATGAAAATTCACCCATTCGGAGGCGTTGTCGTCGCACGTATGTCTAGGCTGGCCCAGCTGGGGGGTCGCCAGTGGTCTCGACACTCGCTAATACTCGCTTAACTGTAACTAATACCGATTTGGCTCTTTTAAGGTTTGCTGTACAAAGCTTATTTACTTGGAATTACTGTAATAGGTATAGTGGAGGAGTTTAAGCTTTCCATCAGGATTCTGGAAAACTTCACTAAGCGGAGAGGGCCCCGTCGCGGAGAAGGTGCCGAAGCGGAGCGGGTCCCGAAGCGGAGGTGTCGCCGTTTTTATCCGCACAAGCAACTCCACCTCACATACAGAATGGTTCATTGGATGGATGTTGTGATAATTTCTTGATGTTGATCTTTGTAATGACTTTTGACGGAGATTGAGAACCCTCGCTTATACTGCTGGATCAACTTTTCGCCGGGGTTTCGAAACTGTTCGGTTATAATACAGGCTCAAACCACCAGTTTTTCTCAAGTAAACCCCCAGAAGCTATTTCTACATACCTATCGATGCCATAAAAACCTTTATAACAAGAATAAGTTACACCATTCTGTAAAAGCTTTAAAGATACGACCTGCAGAATTCTGCATTCAATATTCGTCTATGTATAAATTGAACAATCTCCGACCCCATCAACCTGGAACCAATTTTAGGAACCTACATTAGGACTCCAGGAAAACAAAGTCCCTCTGGTAGCGCAGAGAGATATAATGTAATTCCGGGTGTGTGCTGAAGTTCAATTAAAGTTTTGCGGACAATATCCCCGAGTCCCGTGCTGCGGTATGCCACCATACATCCGGAATACCTTCGACGAACTATATACACAGCATATACTAAGTAATCAAACCTTACCGGATATGCACATTGTCAGGAGTGTGGCCTGGGTGCACCATACAGCGAATAAGGTCGAAGTTCGGGCCACATATGATGGTGTACTCGGAAAGGTGTCTTAAGTACGACTAAGCCCACAACTCGGACATCCACCATAACAATAGAGCAGCGGAATACATGACCATTACTCCAAAGACTTACCGATTCTCGAGAAAAATTAAGAGCAAAATTCTAAGAGTCCCGTTTTAGCCAGTTTGACCATACTCATCAAAATATATCTGTTAATCCATAGAGGCAAGTCGACTTATCATTTTCACTTACTTCTAACTTCGACGAAGACCAGAGGTCAGGTGCAATAATACAGCACCATCAGACTTACCCTGGTAATCTTTGTCTCTATTTTTAGTGAGCAGATTTACATATCAGTATACCATAATCTCCATCGTGGTTAAGCTTATGTATAACCCAAGAAAACCTATCTTTTTATAGAATAACGCCCTCAGTCGATGGAGTAGGAACCTTAGAAACGTTTGGATCTCGTTACGAAACCCGGGATTTGATTGGTTCATAAGTCCTAGAACCTTGTGAATTGGTGGTTTGTGGTAACTTGAAGATAGTTATGGTCAGAGATTATACATCTTGCGGCTTATCAAGGCTGAATATAACCAACTCGAAAATGAAGATAGCTGAGGTTCATTGTATGGCTCTATGATATTGTCTAAGAAACTGAGTGTGAGCAGGTGATTGGTCTTACAATAATCAAAAGAATACCATCTGGGTGACTGGGCCCTGATATATATAAAACTTCTAATCTCTGAACTACTCAAGGATCCTCACCATAGATCAGGTTAGGATAATTTCTTGGGTTACAAAATATCAACCGCGTTTCTTGGGATGGGCACAAAAAACGTAGACATGAACTCCGCGTTTGAAATGAAAAAAAAAATGCCTGTCATTGGAGCGACATGATGTTGAAGTAAAAAGGAACAAAAGGAATGGAGGAGCGGCGAATCGAACGCCGGACCGCCTCTATGCTAAAGAGGAATTATACCACTAAACCACACCCCCATTTTATGTTTGCTTCTGTATAGTTGTGAATATAATGCTAAACAAAAGTTCAGCATCAACAGTTTACATCTCGAAAACAGCTCATGGCAGTCTACAGTCGCACTGGTCCTTAGATTTCGGCCTTTTTATTGTCCATTACGCACAAAAACTGGGGATATGTTTCAATGGCATCTAGCACTCTCCAGGTTCAATACACCACTGGGGTCTGTTTCACAAAGACATTCCTGAGTAATTCCTGCCTCATTCTCCGCCTTTACGCACCATTCTGCAATCAACCTAAAAATCTGTCAGTAAACGCAGAGTTACGCAAGTCTAACAGTGAGTCGCAATATTCTCAACTAGTTGACAAGTCTGGAAAGATTAGAGAGTGCGATACCTCGAGCTAAGATATCAAAAATGCTATCAGTAACGTGGGGACTGTCGTCGATGTAACGGACCCTTCACTATACATCACTCGACATAGTGATAGATCATGATAAACGGCAACTTGAGGAACGCCCTTTTGTGATACTAGGGTTTTCCTTTCTTTCCTTTTTTTTTTCTTCCCTACAGTATAACAAACTTCATAAGTGCTCTTGAAGGTAGTCAGTAAAAATGTGAAGATACTTAACAATTACGGTTCTCACGCATTGACCGCATGGTGCACTGGCAAGCTGGTGCAACATGGCATAGTCAGAGGCGGAATAAGTAGGGTCTTGTGTTGAGTTTCTTGCATATCCATGTGTCTAAACCTATTTTTTTTTGAAGAGAAATTCCTAAAATTTGTGGTACTCCGAGGAGGAGTGGTGTTCTTTGACTAATTCTGAGCGTGGCAAATCCCAAGGAACGAACTGGATACTCATACAATACAATAGCTATTATAATTGAGTTATATACTTAAGGAGACACAGAGGGGACATCATATCTTTCATTATCCTTGCTCAAGAACAATTGCATTAAAAGTGATGAAAATGGAGATGAATGTAGAATCTGGGATATGATGGGAGATGGAATTGCAACTGGGATATGTTGGGAGATGGAATTGCAACTGGGATATGTTGGGAGATGGAATTGCAACTGGGATCAAATTTGAATACACCGTAACTAGAATATGCTCTATATATTACTACTACTTGATGTAAGCACAATCCCCCGTGGCGCAATTGGCTAGCGCGTCTGACTGTTAAGAAATCATTTCTGCGATCAGGAGGTTGGTGGTTCAAGCCCACCCGGAGGAGTTTTTTTTTGATGATATTTTTTCTGTTTTCCATCACAAAAAATTCTCATTTTGCATGGTCTCTTTTTATTCAGATCACAGCAAAAAGGTCATGTCGTATATAGGTTTCATATTGACGAAAGATTTATGGATAAATCGAAGCAATTGATCGACTTCTCCGAAATACCACCGATCCTTCGATTTACTATTCCTTTTGGCACACATGACATCCTCACTCTTATCCAATGTATTCAAAAATCTCAACCTCAAAAACGATACCCTTATCAAAAAACAGCATGAAACGGACTCAGGCGTATAAGCTCCATACAGTCCGTTCCACCAATTACCGCGGTACGTTTCACAGAAACAAAAAAAGAATGTCCCTCCGACCGGAGTCGAACCGGTGACCAACGGATGGCAGCAAATATTACAGTCCGGTGTGATACCAACTACACCACAGAGGGTGTGGACGAGTGGTTGTTCAAGTATACCAGCTCTAATTAAACATATTATACGTCCATACACCATCGAGTGGACCGAGGCATTCAAGGCCTGCGTACATAGGATGAGAGAAACCTTGGTTCTGTCCTTGTGGTCAAAACTACCTAGTAAGGCCCTATCGATATACGCTATACATAGTTATACAGTCGACTGTAGATGCCTCTGGAAAAGCGAGTGCTGGCGCATAGCCTCAGGTCATACTGCCATTTCAGTACCTATCGGCACGACGGCAATCCGCATTCGCCATATGTGTTAACTTCCGGTCAACTGTTTCGGATGTTATCCAGAATATCCATAATCATGTAAAAGCCCAGAAAAAGCTTCAACACTCTATTCAATTACCCCAGAATTTTGCAATACGGGTTCATATTCCTCTTATCTACTGACTCTGCTGACCATAATATCAGCTTATTGTCCATATGCCGCCTTATTATCAGCCTGTGACTCCACCACAGTTTTTCTTTTGTCAGTGGCGGCGGTTGGATAAACGGCTCTAACACAACCTCCTTTCTTTCTGGTGTTTGCAAAAACACACCATCAACAGCCGATCCACAAAGATCTTTACTGAAAACAGTGATCGGAGTATATTACTTGATTGTGGGGCGGCTTTCCGCGAGAAGGAGCATTGAGCTTTTGTTACTATAGTTGGTAATAGTGATCAGGGATTGATAGGTTTCTAGGAGCAGTTTGAGACGAATGTCAAGGTAATATTCGGGGATGTTCGAGGAGATGGCGGGGTACCGGCAAGTTCCGAATGATAGAAATGGAGTGATAATATGTGAAGGACGGATGGAGGCAGACACTGGTGACTCCGTTAGCGAGTAAGAACTTTGAACCGGACAGCACACGTAATGATATTCTTTCGCCCTAGAAGGATAATGCTCATGAAGTTGCGGAGAAAATTTAGGTAGATAGCATCGTTTTGTAGGAGGAGCCGAGGAGGCTATTGGAGGTAGCGGGAGAGGCCCAATTCAGGAAGATAGAAAAAAAAAAGCTGCGAATCTTTTGGTTTCAGAGTTGGGTCAGGGAGGTGGATAGAGATTAGGCGTGCACGTGGTGCATGGTCCAGCGGATCAAGACCATAAGCCGTGAGATTGGGAAGGGATTGATGGTGTTTTAGCCGCTCTGTATGAGAGTTATTGAATGGTAGATGGAGAATTCACGTTACGATATTCCATGCAACGGCATATCAGGTGATTAACCCGGCATGCGACGCGTCTTTTAATTTGACATCATAGTTCATTTTAGTCATAACATCATAATCTACTCGAAATCTTCTAGTTGTACATAACCTTTTCCGACAATTCCTGCTTGTTCATTTCTCCGCAAGTTGCACATTTTCTGTCACCAGTCATCAACCTCCAGTTGGTGCACTTAGTGCACCTTCGCGCCAAAATATCTTTGTCGATCTTGGTCTCGCTCCTGATCAAGCTGTCGTTGTACCATCTCAACAATCCAGCCCATCGGTTCTTGAACTTTCCTCCGGCAACAAGCTCCTTCACCTTTGCATCCGACATGTTCAAAATGGTCTGCTCAATCTCCGGATCAACAGGCTCGCTAGGCTTTCCGGGCAACATCTTAATCACGCTGTCTGCAAACTCCACGTACTCAGGCTCATGCGCACCCCAGTCCCAGTTCTTGAGGATTTGTCCTGCAGTGTCGAAGTCATAAGTCCGCATCTTTTGCCATCCAGGCATACCAGTTCCAGACAAGTACTGCCAGAGAGGTCCAAGAGGTCCCAGTTGAGGGGAGCGCATCAATACGTAGTTGAATACGTTCATTCTGTGTAATCCCTCAACACGACCATGGCAGTATTCCTCATACTTTTGCATCGTTTCAGCTCTACTCTTGGCGTCCTCGGAGTCGAGATAAGAAGCGGTAAGCTCAGCAGCGGCGACAGAAGTTCCCATATTGGCGTTGATTCCAGGTGAGTAAAGAGGGTTAGTGAATCCAGTTGCATCACCGATGGCCATGAATCCATTTCCGGTAACTTTGGGAGACACGTAGGTGAGGTTCTTGCGGATATACCAGGTGGTTCCAGGTCCATACAAGTCACGGACAAGCTTGTGCTTCGACATCAGGCCGGCCATCTTGGGGTACTTCGCGGTGATCCAGTTGAAACGCTGCTCAGCCTCACAGGAGCCGTAGGACGAAAGGTCAGCGGGATATTCGGTGTCGGTTCTAAGAGCGAATCCAATGGAGACGACCCAGCGGAATTTAAGGCCAAACATTTTGGCGAGCTCGAGGGATGAGGGAATTTCGTCCGCGGGAACACCGGCATAGTTGAGGTCAAGGAGGTGGTTGATCATCTTGGTCAAGTTCTTGATACTGGATCCCTCCCAGGTAGGAAGACGGATAACCCAAGCCCATCTAAAATAGTCAGAATTTTGTTGAAATATGATTGAGAAAACAAGGAACTTACCCCTCTGGAAGACAAATATGGTTGGTGTTGACACTCTCGTAGTGATCCAATGGAATTTCGGACTCATCAACGGGACATTCAAAGTAACCCCAGAAGGAATCGGTATTCCAACCATCAAAGCGCTGTAGACGGGCCTCCTTACTGGCAAAACGACGGAATCGACCAGTAGCATCAACAACAAGCTTTGCGTTCACTTGCTTGCCAGCCACAGGGACCTTGCTACCACCATCCGCCAAGACGGTGTTGTCGATATCCACAGAATGTCCATGCCATACGTTGACGCCCATGCGCTGGGCAATCAGGGTCAACATCAGCTCCGAAATTTTTCTTTCCATTTGCAAAGTCGGCACAAAATCTCCAGGAGGTCCATTGGCACAGAATCCAGTGTAATCCTCAGGATCTCCGTTCTGCGGCAGGTAATAGAAAGCCAAGCCGTCCTTAGGTCCAAACAAACGCCACAACATTGGTGCTTCAATTCCAATGGTCTTCAACCATAATCCGAAGGTCGTCAATGTACTCTCGCCAATCTTGTATGAAGGACCTCCGGCCTTTTCGACAACGTTGATGGTTCGACCAGGTGTGAGTTTGGCGGTGTGAATTGCATAGATCAAAGAGTGGATTCCTCCTCCGACAATAAGAACATCCGTATCATTGAGAGGGGTCTGGTTTGCCGCGTTCAAGAATGCAGTCTCGCCATCATTATTAGCATGTCTGGTGATGAGACGGCGGTTGACAGGAAATTCCAAAAACCGAAAGAACTTGGATATCGAGAGAGCTGCGTGCCGTGGAAACAGCAACACCAGCGAAAGGAAAGAGGTCGCCCACATAAACATGATTGCACGATGAGAAATTTTTCAAGCAAGCGGGACTGTGAGCTTTATG